GGCCATGGCTGCATGCTCAGTAAAGCTCTTGTCCTTTCTCTCCCCTCTGTGCAGGGTCAGGAGACATAGATGGACTTCCAAAAGTAAGTGGGTTGCAGGGTGGGTGTGTGGGCTCCCCTTTTGCCAGCACTGGGGTACCAGTGTGACCCTGATGGATGGGGACATGTTGGGAAATGTGACTGGGGTGGGCAGGGCTATGTCCTGCCCCCATGGTGTTTCATGGGGCATGGGGACCTGCTCACCACCTCCCCTCCCATCTCTCACAGAATTCTCCAAACAACATAAGTGGCATTAGCAATCCCCCGGGCACTCCAAGAGACGACGGGGAGCTGGGAGGCAACTTTCTCCATTCCTTCCAAAATGACAATGTGAGTGAGTGCCTGCCTGGGGATGGGGGAACAGTCCCTGGCGAGAGCGGTCTTGGCAGTGGGTGCCTTTTAGACCTGGATTGTTCTGTTGTGAGCTGCCTCTGGGACAGAAAAGTGGACAGGAAGAAATATGCTGGTGGGTGGAAGCTTGGGGTCCTTGGTGGGATGAATGTGTACTGATGGAGGGGAGAGGATCTGCAGGATGGAGAGGAGCTGGTGCAGATGCAGCCAGCTGTGCCGACCTGGCCGAGTCGAGGCTCCGTGGGTGGCTACAGACATCCCTCCGCTTCTTCCTCTATTAGCAGCATATACACGTGTGCATGTTAATTACTTGTTTTAAATTGCATCTCACCCCATACTGTTCTGCTGATTTTCTTCCCGGAAAAGCAAGCTACAGCGCACATTATGCCCTGATAAATTTGAGTCTGTAGCTTATCCTCTCCTCCTGGTTTATTAGATCCAATTAGGTTGCTGTGTAGTTGTCATCAGCCTCCTTTTGCATCCCCCTTCGATGGCCGGGGGTCTGACCTGCCTAGTTTCTCACCCTGACTCTGTCTCTCTTCCAGTATTCCCCCAGCATGACGATGAGTGTGTGATTTCCCTCCCCCTCCTCCTCTCCAGGATCAAGAGAGTCAGCTGCCGTTCGGAGGATCTCAACGAATTATGCAAGAAGAAGAAGAATCTAGGTGTATGGGCAGGGACACGCGTGGCGGGGGCCAAAACCCCAGGTTTAGTTTCATGCAATAAAAAGGCTGAACTTTTTATTCCATAAAACATGAAGGACAAAACTTAAAATATTTCAAGACATGACAAGACCCTTCTTTGTGCAGAAGGGTTTATATATGTACATGACACTTCTTTTTGGAAACAAACGGAAGCCTCTAGCACCCAACTCCGATCTCTTTGCTTTGTTCTTTTAAATAAAGACAGAAACCGAACCTGTTGTATGTTTGTGCCGTGCGACACCAGGAAGCTAGTCTAGATATGAAATCATGTTGTCTCTGTTGTAGTCATTTTTTTAAATAAACTGGACAGTTTACAATGGTGGTTTTCGTTCAGAAGGCCTGTTTTTCTTTTTTTTTGTTTTGGTTTTGGGGTTTTTTTCCCTTCTATTTTTGGGGTTTTTTTTTTGTTTGTTTGCAGCACAACGCTTCCTCCTCCAGTTAACAAGATCTGCTTTGGGGAAGAGACTCCACCACCTCGTTATAAACTTGTTAACGCAGGTGACCCCTTCTAGGATCACATCCTCGAATGAATCGTGATCTTGCTCTCTGTGACTGTGGCATGCACTGTGTTAGTCTTTCCCCCCCTCTCTGAGTACAAGAAGAAATCTCTTGTCCCTCCCTTCCCCAGAATCCTTCAGCTGGTTCACTGCAAAAATTGATTTTTTAAATATTTTTTTTAATCCACCGAAAGAAAGAGTTACTCTGACCTGGGACTTTGAAACTGTGATCTCCAGCTAACTTTGGGATTTTCTGGGGGTTTTATTTGCTTTAGGGGTATTTTGGGGGGGGGTTCTTTTCTTTAGAGATGTGCTCTTGTCAGGATTTCACTTATCTATGATTTGGAACTGGATGGAGATATTTTTTAAGGAATTCTTGTTGTTAAAATGTAACCTTGCTATTCTGTAGGCTCGCTCTGTAATAAGAAAATAAAAATTAATGGCAAGCATCGAAGGCCCTTCCTTCTGATGGGAGAGGAAGGGATGAGCCAAGGCGGCGGGTTGGGATCTCTGTACATGACACTACCCTGTAGTTTGGTCTTTGTTTTTCTGCAGCTCCCATTTCTGCTCCATGTATATCATATTCTGTAAAATATTCTCTCCCTTGGATTTGACCTTTGTGCGGATTATTGAAAGCATTGTATCTTGTTTCAGTGTTTTTTCTTACCTTGTAGTCTGGTTCGAAAATTACCGAGAGGGGAAAAAAAAAATAATTATTATACATTGTAGTTTGTGTACGATATTTGTTGATAATGTTTTATTAAAGGGATGTCTTTTTTCCGCACCCCTTCATTGAAATGTTTTTGGGGGACATTTGGCTTGTTTTTATTATTCTGACTGCAAAACATGAGATGACAAAACTTCTCTTTTTTTTTAGTGTGTAATATGAGTTTCTTTTTTTTTTAATGTTTGCCTTCCTTTTCCTAGGCATTTTCATTGTGCTTTACCTGTAGAAAGTTGGTGGGGAGGGAGGGGTGGGTGGGATGGGGGTTCTGAGGGAGTCAGTCTCATAGTTACAGTCAGGTTAATATTTTCCAGGTAATAACCAAACACAGATTTCTTGCGTCAGGAAAACCCAGGGGCTCCCCTTTTCCGCTTCACATCTTGTGCAGGTTTTGGGGTTTTTTTCCTTTTTTTTTTTCTCTTTTTTTTTTCTTTTCCTGGCGTGAGGAAATGAAAGGACCGGTTTTAATGTATTTTAAAATGAATAGCTAAATTATTGTCTTCATTGGTATCGGATGGTTTTTTGAATGAAACGGTTCTCCCCCCTTCTCCCCCCCTCCCCATGCTGTAATAAATATCAACATAAACATTTGATTTCAGTGCTCTGCTGTTTGTTCCTGGTGCTTGCTGCCAGACCCAGGGCGGGACTTGGGTATTTTTTTCCAACCTTTATCAAGGACCAAACCCCAGGTTTGGGATGTGGGAGCAGAGGTGATGCAGAGCTGAGGGAGGGGGCTGGAAGTTGGCCCCAAAAGGGATCCCAAAGGGATTTGGCTGCGGTGCAGGACCTGGGGGGCTGGGAGAGGTTTGATTTAACAATGCCCCCTTGTTTCTTGGGTTATTTTTTTTTTAAGCATTTTGAAAATTTAGCTTTTAGCCTAGAAAAATGGTCGGTGTTGTCTGTACTGGGCTGAGGATTTGCTTGTTGGACTCTTGGCCTCCCTGCACCCAGCACACCATGCTGCAGGCAGAGGACTTTCAGGAGCTAAAAGGGGAATATTTTTTTTGTACACTGACCCCCAGGCTTTCCTCATTAGAGGCTGGAGGAGACAAAGTGCCAGTGTGGCAATGGAGGCAATCCCAGGCAGCAGCTCCCTGGGAGAGGAGCTGAGTCCGGCCACCTCCTGTTGCTGGAGTCCTGCACTGCTGGGAGGTAAGCAAGGGAGAGGAAGACTCGAGTGTTAGCTTCAAATATACATATGTATGTATGTATTGGGCTTGCAATGGTGTCTGCTTGCAATAGGGTCTGCCCTCCTCGGGCAAGGGCTGGCTGCAGTGCCGGGTGGGGGTGTGCACCATTGCGGGATCAAACTCAGCTCGAGGCTCTGAAGGAGCTGCTGGGGATGAAGTGCAGGCAAGGCTGACCTGGTTCCCTAACAAGCAGCATCAGAGGCTGCTGTAGCATCTGGGGAGAGATTGAGACTTTTTAGGCCTTTATGTGGGTGGTTGCAAGTGCTGGGTGCCTGAAACGCTCCCGGGAGCTTCTGTCTGAGACTTGTTCTCTGACTAGTTCAGGCAGGACATGGTTGGCTGCGAGTGTGCAGCTCTTGCTCCTTGCGGGAATGTTCAAGCGTGGGCTGCAGACTCAGGGAACTGTGGGCTTGGGGAACTGTGGGCTCAGGGGGCTGTGAGCCATCCTGGAGCTCTACCTGTCCTGGGGAATGCTCCCACCTGGCACCAGCGCCCACAATCACGTCACTGCTGCAATTCCAGCAGCAAGCACTGTGCAGTCATGTGCGGTCATGGATGCCTGTGGAGCAGAAGGCTGAGGGGACAATGCTTTGGATGGCTGCTGGGTTTGGGAACCAGCCAGAGAAATGACAGCCTGCAGAGCCCATCAGCATGTCATTAATGGTGCAGCTGAGGAGAGGGGTGTGTTTGCACCCTTTGCTACCTGTGCAGGTTTGCTTCCAGGTTAATGCCACAGATGTCCATGTACAGGGTCTGCAGCCGTGTCCCAGCATGAATTTTGGTCCAGGCAATCACATCCCCTGTGCTTTGCAGAAAGTAGAGTGTGAGCATTGTCCATCACTTGGAGTCAAGCAACCCCCAAGGGTTAAGTTGATGCTGATGAGGAAATCTTGCCCTCCCAGCTCCCTGGGGCCATCCCTGCCTGCACTGCCCATCCAGGCCCTGCTCAGCTGCCCTGAGCACCAGGCTCCTGCACTGCTGCCTGTTTTTATTGCAGGGCATAGAAAAGTCCTTCCCACTGGTTCTTAAGGGTTACAGGCTAATTTTATTAAATATCGCCATGAAACTGCCAAGTTCCCTCCTCTAAACGTCTCCTGGGCCCAACCTCAGGGATAATTGTCTTCCCCATTAGTTTTCATTAAATTAAATGCAGGAGGAGGATCTGAACAGCCAGGGGCTCCAGGCTGAGCACGGGGTGTACTTGCTGGCATGATGAGTGCAGCCCATGGAGCTGGATTTTGCACCGGGAGTGGTTCAGAGGAAGAGAGTGTGGAGTGGTGGAGCTCGGATAGCACTGTGTGCATCATCCCCAGGTTGGGGGCAGTGGCTGCAGAGCTCTGCTCTGCCAGGTCCTCGTCTCAGGCTCCTGCCACCCAGTTCTTGCATGTACTGCTTCCCTGGCTGCCGTTCATTAAAAGTTAATGCCTGGCCCTTGGTCCATGCTGAGGTAACACCATTTGTCTGCTGACGAGCCTTTATAACTTATTGATGCCAACTCAGATGAGGCTCTGTGACCCATTGTTGGACTCCCTCAGCTGGGCCGATTCCAGCAGGTCACGCTGGAGGAACTGGGAGAGCCCAACCATGCTCAGCGTGCTCAGGGATACCACAGACATGTGGTAGGGGCTGCCTGGTCCATGGACCACAACAGATCAACCTGAGCATCCATGCCAGGTGCCAAGCTGGAAGCCCCACTCTGCCCCCCTTGAGCTCCCCTGCAGGACCTCAGAGGAGCAAGCCCTGCACGAGGATCAGCTGCTCTTTCCAGCAATGCGTGAGTGCTGCTTCGCCCTGGCCACAGGTGAGACCAGCTGTGCCCTGAGCAAACCAGGGACATGGCCTCCATGCTTGCATGTGATCCTCTCACCTCCAGCGGCTTCCTGATGCCTCACAAAACCTCTGAAGCCTTGTTTTCCCACAGTTCTTCCCCTGTCTCACTGCTTCCACCATTTTTTAAAACTTCCTTTGCTCTGCCTTTATCCATCCCTCCCTGTGCTCATGCTTTGTCTCTGCTCAGTTTGGAGACAGGATTCCAGCTTCCCCTGCTCCCTCCTCTTCTGCTGCCTGCCCTGACAGAGATGTCTTTGTTGAGACGTAAAAGCATCTGTAGGGACTTTGCCTCTTTCCCTCACAGACAGGTTCCCACATCTACTATGAGCAAGGGAGGTGTTTCACCTCTCCAAGCCCCCTCCCCATCACAGATGTTTTTCCAGCAGGCTTCCTCAGGGAACCTCTCTGCTCAGGAATGTGAACAGGCAGCTGGCTGCCCTACAGGGCTTCCTCCCTAAGACGGGTAATGATCCGAAGCCGGAAGAGCAAAGGGATGTCAAGCAGGGTCCATGTGACACAGCAGGGAACCAACAGCCCGAGAAACAAACACCTACAGGCTCCACAGAGCACGGGTGTACTAAAATATATTCCCAAATACCAGGATGCAAACCACAGACCTCAGCAGATTTACACTGATGAGCTGAACTAGGCATCCCTTGAGCAGGCAGGATTAACATGATTCAGATCAGTACAACTCTTACTAGATTATTTCTCTTTCAAGCATTTCTCCTAACTATTGAGGGATTTGTTAATTTAATGTACAGCTCCTGCATCCCCATTTACAGGTTGCAACTGTTGTTCTCAAATGTGACTGGTGGATGTTGGCTGAAACCTGCAGAGTGGAGCTGCCTGATGGACTGGAACACACAACTGGGTGTTCATCCAGGTGGTCAGAGATCACAAAGCAAGACCAGCTTCTGACACAAGACACTGAAGAGAGATGAATTTCTTGGAAATATGCTCTTCCACACCTTAAAATAGCACAGGCTGTCCTCTTCTTTCCCATGTGCTGGAGGGTATCAGAACTGCAAAAACATTCTACATTTGGCTGCAGCTAATTTAGCTTTCATTTTACAAAACCCACACTAATCCCCCCATGTTAAAAAGAATACGCTTCCTGCTCAGTTAACTCTGTGTGGCAGGAAGAAATTCTTCCTTTGTATTTTTAGCAGCAAATACCAGCTACAGGCACCAAAGTTTCATGCTACATTCTACACCACTTTCCCCAAATGCAGAGGTCTCTTCATCCAGGACTGGGGGATAAAAGAACTGCGGTTCTACAGATCCAACAAAGCAATCTCTCCGATTAAGTGCTTTGGGAACTAAGCACAGGGCAGCACGATGCATCCCGCAGCAGCCAGGAGTAAAACAAAGTCAAAGCCAGGCAGAATGAAAAAGGCTCATGTCTCAGGCTCCCCCCTTGAAGCTTTGTAAGTCTCTTCTGCATTCAGAGGGACTCAAAGCAACCTCAGGAATAGGTTTGAGTCTGGCTCTGTGCAGAAGCTCACTGAGAGCAGAGCCTGCGCAGAGGAATAATGACTGGCTTATGTTCTTTCCAGGTAATGGAGGAAGAGTGCAGGAAGATGCATTTGATGGCTTCTCTAACCCAAATTCAGAGGTGAGCCCCTAAAATGAAAGAGTTTCTTCATGCACTATTTAGTTTAAAAAAAAATATTTTACTTTCAGTAATGATATAATTTATTTTTAAAAGTAAATTAATCCACCTTTCTTTAATTATGTGATGGTTCTGGCAAAGAGAAGCAGCAGGTACAGTTGGTGAAGTATTTTCATTTGAGCTGAATTTCACACAGTTCCATGCAGATACAGTGCCAGAAACTTCTTGAATGTGTCTGGCTGAAAGCCATGAATTCCAACGGGCTTCTGCAGAGAAAAAGACACGGATGCTCAGTTTGCAGTGAAGTGATTAATGTAGACAAACAACGGCTTTAAACATGCTTGAATAAGACTTTCAGGCGTGGTAGTTTCTAAATTGTGCTCTCTTCCCCAGAGGGGTTTGTGTGGGGGTACTTCCACTGGTGTCAATCTCAGAGAGCCGAATCCCTCTGCCCATCAGTGAGATGCCCTCCCAGTATAACCAGTGCTGACAGCCCCGTGCTCTGTTTACTCCCCAGCAAGGCTGACAGCAGCATGTAAGCACTTCCTTCATCAGGGCTGGTTTTAAACAAGCATATTATGAGATGGTGGATTACAGACAGGGATATCTGTACACAGGAGCTCATATTAAGCTTGGCATGTGGCACATCAGCACTACAAACACTCAGGAACCGTTCCCCTCAGGAACACCTGCTTAGGGAATAACTAGGCCAGTGCCCATGTCAGGTCCCTTCAGCTGGTTCAAAACCTGCTGCGGCTCTGCACCAGCTCTCAACCCCCCTGCCAAGGTGAAAGGGCAGGATTTCCAGGACCATTTCCAAAGGTTTGCTTACCACTACAACTCTCTTCTTGATTTTTGGAACACACTGGGCTGTCTCATACAGTTTCTGATCAGAGTCAATCCACACTAGATTTTTTATGCCATCGCTAGAGACAAGGTCTGTTGTATTTAACTGGAACACCATGAACTGGAAGAGCTGGCCATCTGTGCCAATGCTTTGCACCACTATTGGCTGCTCCAAAACCTTGGGATCATTCTAGGAAAAGAAGAGGGGATGGGGGAGAATGTTTTAAAAGCCGGTTACTACAGAAATTGTATGAGTACTTGCTGATTCTGCATCTTAGAGTTGGTTTAAAGCCAAGATTTTAATAAATGTATTGTTACCTTGCCCAGAAAATTACTCTAGTCAAACAAGTTTTGAATGTAGATTTTGTATTTTAATTAAAATTCCTCCTTCAGCCAGCAATGAAGTGTCAATTTAAATACTGAGCTGTGGGATGGGTCAGAGTTTTACAGCTGAACTTACTCCCTGGTTCCTGCCCATTACCACCCCAGTGCGTGTTACATCACGAACACACTTGTTGCTGAGCGGAGGATTTCTGGATCAGGAGACATCAGTAACCTGAAGGTTGGGGTTAGACCTTTGGATGGGGAAGTTTGGATGTGAGAAGTACTGTAACATGCCACGGCAAGGGAATTTCAGGACTCTCTCCACTCGCTGCAGCACTAGAGGGAGAACAAAGGCCCAGCAGCAGCCTGCCATACATACCCCATAGAGCACCTTGGCCTTGGCCAGCGCGTTGCCAAAAGCAAACATCAGCATTTTAGCACGGAGCTGTTCTGGTCTGAACCTGTCAGGGCAAATGATGGCTGACTCCAGGAAGAACAGAGTGTGAGGATGAGAGTAGGGATAACCATCTCTGAAACCTAAACAGCAGATAGTCATGTCAGAAATCGCTCAGTAAGACACTACACAACGGATGTTTTCTCCCTTTATCTTCAGGAACTGTTAAAGCAATTTGCTGGGGTTTAAGTTCTTCTCCATTGTCCTGCTTAGGCCACAGGTCTGGAGCGCTTGCACTGCACTCCTTTACCCAGCTCCTCTGTCCCCTCATTCCCACACATTCCCCCTCTCAGCTGCCTCACAGAAGGACAAGGGCTCTAAGTGAACCCAAACACTGATAATATTATTAACAGCTGGATTTACCTGTGTCATTGAGCTCTTTGTAGACATTCACCTCCTGAAGATCAATTGTAGGCAAGATGGGATGGAAAGTCTCCAGAACATGTTCTTTGGTGGCCAGGATCTCCTCCTTGGAGGCTACTGGTGGTATAGGGGCCATAGAGTTCATGAGTATTCCATTCAGGCCACGGACCTGAAGGAGAATGGATTCTGGGGAGGGAAATTAGACTACATTCAAACACTGGTGAAATCAGACTAGGGAAAGACATACATTTCCTTTCACAAGTCTGTTCTGCAAGGCTCACTCTCTCCCCCTCACCTCCAAACCCATCTTAAATAGTAGCCCAGCTGTATGTTCTTCTTCTAATATACCAATGCTAATTGCTGGTATTAAGTTCTTAACTAAACATACTTAGAAAAACAACAGTACTGTTTTGAGACCCAAAAATATAAACAATCAGGTCCAAGACCCTGGTTCTCTTCTCCCACCATATTGTCAATATTGTCTAACACATAATAATGTCCTCAGGGAGAATATCCTGCCATCATCCAAGGCTGCCCGTGCTGACAGCACTTTTTAAAACAGGAAGAATTACCTGCAGGGTTCCAGAAATTGTTTAACTTGCTCCAAGTCCTCATCCTTAAAGCCAGCAGCATTGTTACCCCTCTTATCTTAAAGAGCTAAATGCTTCCACCATGGCAGCAACTAACCTCTTTCCCATGTTGCTGCTATCCTGTAGTTTCTAGCCAACATCCTTTTACTCAGAGCAGGATACTTCCTAGACATTAACCGGCATAAATGTATCAAGTCTTCAAACAGCACTGGGCTTTAAAAGGAGAAAAAAATTGTTATATAAAAATGGGATCATAAGGGCAGGCAAATGTTTCTGGGGCACAAATGATGTAAAATTACTGTATGTAAAACATATCACAGCATAACGTTTCCAAGCAGTTAACAGAGATTGCAGATTAATATCACACACACCAATCCTGTTCCAAGTTGGCAGAGGTAATGCTTACAATTATTATTTTAAAAACTGATATTCTGCATCAGCTAGAAGTAGATCTCAAGTTGAAATAGAGACCTTGGCTTGAAAGAAGCTTTAGTGTAGCAGAGTGTTTATGTCAGTGCTACTGTCAACATCAAAACTGCATTTTACTGGTCGTTTTGGTTGCTGCTTTGTTTTAAACATGACAACTTCATACAGCAAGTGAGTCTCTCAACAGTAGATCTGTGTTCAAATTTTCCTTGTAGTGTTAAAAACTTTCCCTACAGCTGCATACTCACCAGAAACGGTCCCTCTTGGGAGCAACCTCTGTGGTGTCCCAGAAGCGCGAGTGTGAGATCGCGTCCTTCACCTGCTCCTCATGCTCCTGCAGCCCGTGGGCCGGGTTGTCCAGGATGCTCTGCACGGATAGAGGCAAACCTTCCACCAGCTTCGTCTTGGTGAGCCACTGCGCCTGCCGCACCCCTGCAAACGCAACCCAACACGGTATGTCACAGGTGACAGAGATGATCCAACCCAAACCATTCTGTGATTCTGCACTATGTTACCGAGGCTGCCAGGCAGCTCATGAGGCTGGGCAGGCTCTTCACAGCCCATGTTGTGTTTACACTCTGTGTGAGGAGAAGCCTTGACAGGCAGAGCAGGGTGAGTGCTTGTGGAGGGGGCAGCGCTGGGGGCAGAGCGGGTGTGTGGTACCTTCCAGCATTCGGACACGCTGGTGGCAGATGTAGCACCCCCGCTCCTTGTACAGCGGCATCTCCTCGTAGCGCGGCCCCCGCGAGTGCCAGGGGTCGTGCCAACAGCGGTCCCAGGGCGGGAAGCGCGGCCAGGCCAGGCCGGGTATGTGGTGCTGCCGTCCCGCGCATGTGATGGTGTCCAGCTCCACCTGCTTCCGCACCGGCAGCCGCTCCACCATCCGCGCCAGCACCTCCGGCGGAGGCCCGCGCGTGGTCCAGGGCGTGCGCGGCAGCGGCCCGCGGTGGCGGGGCCGCCCCGCGCGGGTGATGATGCCGCGGGTGAGGCCCCGCGCCGCCGCCCCCGCCCGCCTCAGCGCCACCGGCCCCGCCGCCATCGCCACTGCCGTCGTCCTCGTCCTCCTCCCTCAGCCGCCTCAGCGCCCGCCCGCCGCCATCTTGGAGAGGGACCGTCCCCCATCGCCTCCCCCGCTGACTGACGGCGGCGGCGGCCAATGGCGGGCGGGCGCGCCCCGCCGTAAGGGAGAGTCGGCAAATTGCCTGGCGGGTGGAGGGTAGGTGCTGTGTGGGTAAGCGGGGAGGCGGGGGGGGAGAGGAGAGGCGGCTCCTCGCCTGCGGGGCGGGGGGGCACTTGAGAGACCATCCCTGGGTGGGAGGTGCCGGGGCCGCTGTGTCCCTGGGGCGGTGTGTCCGAGCCCCCCGGGGCGGTCTGTCCCAGCCCCGGGTGCGCACAGTAAGTGCTCGAAACTCTGTAAATCTGCCCAGGCCGGAGCCTTCAGGGTTCCGGGTTCACCCACGGCCGGGTCGGGGTTACCCCTCGTTCATAGTCCATGTGTGCTCGGGGTCCCCAGCGGGCGCTGTGGGCAGCCGGACCAGTCGCCTTTCGTTCTCTCTTCTCCCTCCATATCCTTAAAATAAGTGTATTTGTGTTGCGGGGGTGAAGGTTAATTAATTGACCTTGACAGTAAAGCTGCTCGAAGCGCTAAATGTTCCCTTGCTTCGGCTTGGTCACTCGTGGCTTCATAATTTCCTGTGGACCCCCTTGCGTTCAGAGGATACGGAGACAAATGCATTGGGAGCAGCGTTAACCCAGCCAGTCTGTAAAAATAGCAGGGTCTGCGAGGTCTGCAGTGCGATTTTGGCTTGAGGAGTGTTTCATGTGTACAGCTCGCTTGGAAGCACCGGGAGCAAGGGATAAAATCTCCCTTCTTGTGCTTCCTGCCCTTCCCTACGTGTCTACATTTAAAGGCAAACTCAACACCCATAACCAAAGAGTTTGTTTGCCTGAGACTTTTCCCCGTTTGCCTCAAGTCTCTTGGCTCTAAACCCGACTTTCAGCTCGCTGCCCTTCCCCCTCTTCCAAAGCTGCACAACTCAGGCCACATCTGCTGGTTGGGTTTGTTACCCATTGTCTTGGTGGTTGGGTTTGTCACCCGTTTTCCTGGACTGAGCTGCAGATTTTTAAGATGTTTCTGTTCCAGGTGACCAAGCTGCTCTTTTGTAGGAAATCACCCCGGCAGAGCAAGCAGGATTAAAGAGCGTGGCTTTGGCTGGGCAGCCAGGCTGGGGAGGTGGGCCTGAGGCTGGACTAAGGGTCTGTGCAGCTCTGGGCTGCTGGCTGTGATGTCTGGCATTCCTGCACTGGACAGTGCAGAAGCAGTGAGCACTCAAACAAAAACGGAGTGTTTCAGGCACAGATCAGCTCCAGGTTTTCAGTTTTCCCTGAGATACACATGCACAATACTCAAGAGGGATTTTGTCAGTCCTTCTCCAAAAATGCCTGGCTGGTGAGCACATGCCACTCTTTGTCGTGCTGGTTTTGGTGCAGGACTTGTGTTTTGCAGGCAATGAGTGGCAGCGAGCAGGACTGGCTGGCTCTCAAACCCCGGGAACCTTCTCCATCCCAGTGCTGCGGCGGCGGCTGCAAACCCTGCATCTATGACGTGTACGAGAAGGAGCTTGCACAATGGGAGAGGGCCAAGGCAAAGCAAGACAAAAGCCTTCTCACGGAAAAGAGGGAGCAGGTCAATTTACCTCCATCACATCCTGGAGTCTGTGCTTTGATGGTACTTGTTAGGGTCTGAGGTTGTGGTGATGGGCGAGGGATGCAGCAGTAGGTTCAAGTGGTGCCTTAAGAGATGGCTGTAAATGCAATTCCCCAAACTCTGCTTCACCCTCCCCCTTGGCTGCTCTCTCCCTGCTGTAATGTGATTTTCCAAGTGTCAAGTTCTCCCTGGTGTCGCATTACAGCCCTGAATCTGCAGCTCTCCTCTCAGAGTTTCCTCGGAGAAGCTGTTTTCCCCACCTTTTTCATCTTTTCCTGATTTTTAGGCTCATATTTTGAGGCTGAAAAAAGCTGTATTGTGTGTGGTGGAGCAGTTGTCTTCAGAGTGTAATTTGAAGCTTGTCAGTGCCCTTTTACGTAAGATTAACTATGCTGGGTCAAGCAAAAAAGATCAGCTGAAACAACTGATAATATTTCCTGTTTGCTGTGGCCATCAGTAGGTTGCAAAGTTGCCCCCAAAGCAGTGCTTGGCGCTTTTAGCAGAATTATTTCTGTTTGTTTTTAGACATGGGAAAATGATTGCAGTGAGTCATAATAGGATGACCTTGCTGTAAGGTGTAAAAAAAAATATAATTTAAAAAGAAGGTGGTGGTGGTGGGGAAATGCAAGATCCCAAAGTGCACACTGCAGAACATGATAATGAATCAGCAGAGAGCTGGAATTTGCGCTGGGCCCCAGCGTTTAATACATGTCCTGAGTATCTCGGGTGCTAAATTAGCATGCACGTTTGCTTCCAGAGAAGAATGAAATCATAAAAGACACCATCTAACCAAGTAATTATTTATTGTTGTTCTTGCAGAGCAGTAATTCAGTGCTGAATCCAGATACATTCACTGCGTTCAGCGTGAGCTCGGTGGAGCAGCTGACAGAGGACACCTACCAGTACAAATTTGAATTACCGGGAAACAGCAGCTTGCAATTGAGTTTAGGACAACATATCGTGTTAAGGTATTGTTCCCTGTGCTAGTTAAACAGTCTGCATTATGTAACCTAATATGTAGGGGTTTGTCAATAGACAAAGGCTTCATAGCAGGCAAATCGTGATTTCTGTACCTCTACAACGACACAGATGAAAAGAGCTCGTGAGCTCGCTGGCTCCACTAATTCCATGGTAAAAGCCATTCCAAAGCTGTAGTTTTCTTCAGCATTATCCTTGCATCGGTGGGTCAGAAAGAACTAGGTGTGATTAAGAAAATCCATTTGCAGAAAGAAAGACTCAAAGAATAGATGTTACAACAGATGATTTACTCTAGCGTGTTGGAATGAAGACAATGAGCTGCACTTTCCCAAGAGCTCTGTACCTCAGCACCCAGGGTGTAATCCCAGTGCCCAGGCATTGCCTGACTGACTTCGAGCAAAACAACCCTCCTGTGTAGTTTATTGCTTGCCGGAAAGGGGCCACTTGGGGAAAGTTTCTGTTTCTCAGCCATCTGTGGTGATCATTGCCAGATAGGAAAAGTCCTGTTACGATGCCATTGATCTGCCTCTGTTGACGTTACTAGTAGGTTAAGAGCTGATGTGTGCAGCTGGTTTCTGCTGCCAGCACATGCTCCTCCTTCCAGCCCTGTCTCGTCAGGCAGCAGAGAAAAAGGTTTGGTCACTTCAATCAATTCTCGTGGTCAGTAGTAAAGAGCAGGGTGGATATATTCTATAAGACTTACAGGAAAATACAGTCTATATTGACAAGACCTCAGGTCAAGGCTGTGCCCTGGTTTTTGTTATTTAATTACCAGATGCTGACTGGACACAGAAAGTGACCCCAGCTCAAAAGGAACAGCAGACTTAAGCGTGGAAGTGTTTTCTCTCCCCTTTGCCGCTCTTGCACATTCAGCCATTTCTCACAAAGCAGCTCAAACACCCTTCCAGGGGTGTGTCCCAGAGCTGGATGTGGTACAGTTGGGGCCACCACCGGGAAAACAAAAGGTGCCTTTAAGCCATTATGTTCTCCCTGGATTTTTACCTGTGGAAGGGAAGTGTTTTGCACCTATGCACAGGCTGGGCCACTGGGAAGAGGACCTGCTGCCTGCCCTGTCTCCCCAGAGAGCTGCAGGATTTTGGTAATCCCCAATGGCCCAAGTCACAGTGGGTTCCTCTTTATCTTGTCAGGGGAGTGGTGAATGGTTTGGAGGTCCAGCGAGCCTATACTCCAATCAGCCCTGGGAATGCAGAAGGTTATTTTGAAGTTCTAATTAAAGTAAGTAAGCCTGGACAATATGGAGTAGAGTCTAAGGTGCTGGGGACTGTGTTTTCTTTAGGAACCAAGCACACTGGCAGCACTTGGAGTGAGACTCAAATCCCTCATGTACTGTTTTTGTGTTGTTTTGAAATGGTTGTGCTTTGTTGATAAAAATTGCAGTTTTTCCCACAAAACTGAAAGCAGAGAAAGGTGACACACAAACAAGAGCTTTGCAGCAGAAGCCCTGTTAAGCACTTGGGAGGACCTCTTGGGTGCCCAGCAGTCAACAAGGTGGAAAGAGGTGCCCATTCCGCTTCTCTCATATAATTTTGCCTTTTCAGTTTGTCTTTGAAATCACACCCAGTTGTCAGCCCAAGTGAACCACTGATTTTGGGAAGTGTTTGCCCAGCCCTTATCCTTCCCACTGTATTTGACTCCAAGAACATCCCACAGAAAAAATGTCGGTTTGGTTAAAAATGTAGACAGACAGTGGAACAGGGAGCAGCTGTTCCTGGTGTGTGGGCAGGGCTCTGGAGCTGCAGTGTGAGAGGGTCTCCATGGGCAGAAAGGTGTCCCATGGACACAGGCTGCATCTATCAGGGTGGATGGGATGGCAGAGCCCTGACTGGGACAAGTGTCCTGGCCCTTCTGGAGGTTACCACAAAGTGTTGCTTTAGTGCAAAATTATTTTATAGGAGGTTTGAATAAAGCCTGCAAGGCCCTCATATATTATTACTTTGTGTGGCAAATATCGACTGGAAGAACATTTTTCCAATACTGCATTTGTATGTCACTAGTGATTCCTCAGGGCACACACAGACTTCAGTACAGGTGTGAAATTCAGAGAGCTGGGTATCCCAGGTGGCTTGCAGAGGATGACCACTTGTCCTCTGCCTGTCTTCCAGGATTTCATGTTTTTGGGGTTTATTATGCATTGTACATTGAAATACAAACCCTGGTCTTTAGAGAAGTGAACAGCT